CATAGTCTTTACAAGTTGAGACAAGCATATATCTTGATTAATTTATCTATTATAGATAAGTTAATGTATGTACAATAAAATTGACAAGCATATATATTAAAGTTTTACCTATTGCGACATATATAAACCAATCATGCACCACAATACCTTCAATACATGTCCATCGCTAGTAACCATTATCGATTGGCTATAACAAGAGCTACCATGCAGTAACTAAAACTTAGATCCAACGCATCGATAAAGTGCCTCACTAGCTAAACAGACTCTTATATAGCCACAATAGACTTGAACAACAACTTTTTACGGTATACCAAACCACCTCGACACAACCACTGACACGCTGGGACGATCCATATGCACTTTTGGGAACCTCTTAGTTAACTAACAGAAGGCTAGTTATCCGCCAGGGACCACGAGGAGGTGGATTCCCATCCCCTGGCTCATGCGCGTCAGTTCTGCTGTCAAGGACATTAGCTATAAAGCGTCGAGCTCCCTTTTATCAAGGCATATCGCCTTCGTTGCCTGTGTGCAAGAGGCTCCATAGCCATAAGAGCGAGTTCATGCCTAAACACACACGGCATGTTTTTGGAAAATCATAGCAAACATCCGTATATTATTGGGGTTGATCCCTCCAAGCGTGGTAGTTCTCCACCGGAATGGGGTATACACATGCGCTCCACCTAGCGCTCCCCTTTCCCTTCCTTACTGTGACCGACCGCGATCGAAATACTTAGAGAAAGAAAAGAGAGGGACCGAAAATGTCTGTCGACACATGGTGTGGGCACAACACAACATTTGCTCACACACGCACAGACACACGCATACACACACACTGGTACTACTATGGCACACTTGTGTAGTAGCAGTGTTTAGCGTCTGTAGCTTGGGCAGTTACTCTACAGTTTCGGTGAGGTTCGCCCTTTACAACTTGGAGATGAACCTCTATACACACATCCAAGTTGGTGGCTACCTGTTCGCCAGGTAGGTTTCCAGCCACTTTTTTGCCCTTTGATGCCAGCCTCGTAGAAACCTATCACACATGCCCTCACGGGTTGAGACTGGCATTTACCGCATTTCG